TCAACGAAAACGAGCTATCGTCGACGAATAGCCGGAGTAATACCAAGAATGCGGCATGCTTATCTTTTTGTTTCTTTCCTGAAAAACGTTTTTCAACAATAAAATTACAATTTATGAAACGAGCCACTTTTTGGGGAGAATGGTTGCGTGTCCGTTTTGGGGTCTAGTGCTAAAGCGTGCCCCCGGGCTGCGCGGTTCGATGGTTCTATGGCGTTATCCGCCCCGGGGTCACCAGTAGCCTTCAAATCTTTGCAAAGACATCATAGACCTGTTCTTTTATATTGGCTTTTATTAAGATACATCAGTTTTTATAAGGCGGGTCTGAATTATAGATATAGAACTATTTCAGTCAGCCTTGAAATTAGGGAAAAATTAAGGTGTTTCGAGGATTGTGTTGATTTCCACATCGGCACTTTCACTAATTTCCTTTCTTTCTTGTGTCTAATCTTTCCTCTTGCCTCTTTAAATAACTTAACCTCTATCGATCGTTATTATGCTTTATTTGGCCGGCTCCCTTTTCGAGGTTTTTTTTTTCTGGCCGAGAAACGAATAATAACAATATTTCTAGCATTTTAGTATTTTTAGCCCGAAAAGTGTATTTATTGTGCATTTTGTTTTTGGCAGCTCTCATTTTTTTCGAAAACCTACTGTTTTATAATTCTCAACTTTAACTATCTTTTTCAGGCAAAAATGTCGACCTATGGGCCTCGGCCGTCCTCTTTCGAGCTCGAGGAAGGGGGAGAGCGGTGAGTTGTTTAATTCAGAAAATATTATGGCTTTATCAGACTTCTTAAAATCCTGTTTACAGGTATTACATCGGCTCCGAGGTGGGCAACTACCTCAAGTACCACCGCGGCACCCTCTACAAGAAATATTCGCTGATGTGGAAACGCGTGGCGACGATGGACGAAAAGGAGAAAATCCGCGCCATCAATGCCTCGCCCGCCTTCTTGAATACGAATATTATGTGAGGATTTAAGAGTAGAAAATTGACTGTTTTTTTTCAGGCTCGTTCGCCAGAGCGAAGTTGATGATATTCTGGCCGGAAATGACGAGAAATACAAGGTGAGGTTGTTTGCTTTTAATAATGTCTCTTTTTAGGTGGCCGGAAACGCGGCGCCTCGGCCCGAGGGCAGCTTCACGCCAATGAAGCCGAACCCGGCGAAGCAGGGCTCCAACCAGGGATGGGGCGGCCAGCAGGTGTGTGATTATAAATAACGAAATTAGATTTTTCACACGCAAAAACAGACTTTAATCGTTGTTTTCAACCAGCTGATGTGTTTTGGATTTGTCAAGCCCACTCCTAATAGTAAAACATGTTTTTGCGAGATTCTTTCTCCTTTTGGGTTTGACGAATTCCTAAGAAGCGCTATTTTCAAGCCCTAATTTTTTCAGATTGAAAACAAACATCAGAAATTCGTTCGAATCGTTAGGTCTAGAGATAAATATTTGGTTCTTTTGCATTATCGGGGGACCAACTTTTTCCTAGAAGTCCAAGGAGTCGCTAATAACGTTATAGTGAGTGTTTGATTAGTATTTTAACAAGATTTAACTATATTTTCAGTGGAAAAGCAATCAAAAGATTTTAGGTGAGATTTTGGTCGAAAACTCAATATTTTGTCATTTTAACCAAAATTTGTAAAGTTTGTCGTTTAGGGCTATTAAAAAAAGTCCAGAATGATTTATATATCTCATCCTCCTATTTATATTAGAAAACTGGGATCGTTAGAAAAGAAACCAAAAGAAGAGAAAACAGTGGTTTGAAGATTAAAAACACGTATTTAGGTCCAAAGCGGCTCCCATCACGTCGAAGCCGTCCCCGCTTCCCACCCGATCGCACACGGGCGCGGCAAGTTCAAGCTGCGCGAAACCATCTACTCCACCGAGGACTTTGAACAAGTATTTATCTTTTTTGCTTTGTTTTATTTTATTTCCAGGCAAAACGCATCCGGCTGAACGCGGACATCCCCGAGGAGCTGGTGCCGATCCGGTTGGACATGGAGATTGACCAGATCAAGCTGCGCGACACGTTCTGCTTCAACCGCCGCGAAACGATCATCACGCCCGATGTGGTTGGTCGTTTATCGAAAAAAAATTTGCGGTTTGGGTTTGTTTCTCCAGTTTAGTTGCTTTTGCGAGCAAAAATGCGGTTCTATATTTTATGACGCAAAGTCGTACATGAATGAGGCAATAAACAACCGGCGAGAGTTGTTCAGTAATACCATTTTGCCAAAGCAGGAAACGGGTTTTGCTTGAGTTTTTAAAATAAATTTATTAAAATATCCGCTTACGACTAGCGAAAATCTTCTAGTGTCGATAGTTGGGCTTAGAAGGCGGTGGGATTATATTTTTTATGGGAATTGGGTTCCTTAATTGATAGCCAAAAAAATACGAGGCGACCTGAAGTAGAGAAGATATTTTTCCAAAAAAGAATCCGTTTCAGTAGTTTATTGCCAAAATTGTCAGCAGAGTCGTCTAATAGGCAGTTTGAACATGCGTCGTGATATTAATCCTCAACGATTCGTCTATGGTTTTTCGAAAATGAATATAAGAAAGTTTTGATTGAAACACTAGGATGTGCGAATTATCTATTCAACGAAGTAATTTATTTGTCCAACTTTACCGAGAAATTGCTTTAAAATCGGCTTTAAGCTATATCTTTCAGTTATTTTTCATAGTTGATTTCTCGTTATGAAAAAAGGTGTTTCAAAATTTTCTGGCATAAATCACTGGTATATTCGTTGAATAGATAATCCGCACATCCTAGGGTTTCAATAGGATGGCAAAAATTGTAGGAATACCAGCGCTGACGGACATTAGAAATTTATATATGGTAGATTTTTGCAATTAACACTTGTCGCATCTCTTTCATAACTCTCAAATTCTTTTCCAGATTGCCGAGCAAATCTGCGACGATCTCGACCTGCCCGCCGGCAACTTCCAGTCAGCCATCACGTCGGCCATCTACCAACAGCTCGAAGCCGCTGAGGTATATTTTCGATTTTCATCCAGATTTTGGACAATCTTAGTTCTAAAAATTCCGAATTCGAAAATATAAGAATAAACTTTCGATAAATCAGAATTGCAAAAAATCGGCGTCTAGGTACCAATCGAAAAGGTGATGCGCGGAGTACGGAATTTTTTCGTATTTCGATTTTTTCGAAATTCGCGTTTACGTTTACTATAACGACAGTACGAAAAGGTGATTTTCGCAAACCAATTCGTTAAAATGCCGTAATTTTCCTCTAAAATCAAGAATTTCCAGTGCATCCCCCTGGACACGGCAGCCAGCGACCAGCGCGTCCTCATCAAGCTCAACATCAACGTCGGCAACCAGAATTTGGTCGACCAATTCGAGTGGGTGTTTTTGGCTTCAGGGAGTTTTGTTCATTTTTCTTTCTTTTAATTTGAGTACTTTAGTAGTTTCCGTTAAATTTCTAAGATAGCCATAAATTTATAAGCCTCGATATCTTGCATCGGTTCTAAAAATCGAATTCATCCATTATCCATTTTTTTCCAGGTGGGACATGAGCGATCCGCTGAACAACCCGGAGGAATTTGCGAAGAGCCTCTGCTCCGATCTCGGGTTGGGCGGCGAGTTTCCGTCGGCCATTGCCTATTCGATTAGGTATGTAAGAGTAATCGTGCGTAATTACTATAATTACTTAAAATTACAAACTAGATTACAAAGTTTAATTACACTTTTTATTAAGCAAAAATAAGGATTTACATTGAAAGCCAAAATTGCACTAGTTTTTCTGATTTCGAGCAGTTGACCATTGTCCAAACTGACCTGCCGGAAACCCTAAAAAATTTTGAAACTTCTTTTTCAGAAAACGGTACCCAGCCTGCCATAACAACTAACACGACGATGCCCAGCCTACTGTAGACCATTGTGTGTGGGGCGCAGAATAGAAAGCAGGCCAACAGGCCGCCCTCGCTTTTATACGACCCACACCGTCTGCCGGGGGTTGTACAAAGGAAAGTCGGGGAACGGCACCCACGGGGCTGATGCCCTCCTTCTCAACCGGGCAATAAGTAAGTGAAAGCTAGTCGAGGGGACTCTGTATCTCTCTCTCTCTCTTTCTCTCTCGCTCTCTCTCGCTCGCTCTCAGTTCCTCGCAAGATTATACCCTACGGATTTATGATTATACGCTACCTTGTTTCTGCGACGAGATACACACTAGCTAACGGTACCACAGCTTTTGTGTTATCAGCTCGACGTTGCCTCGGCGAGTTTCTAAAATTTTTGTAGTTCTGCCAAGTGTTTTGTTTTTTCGATCCCATAAAGTCGAAACTTCACAGAATTTTATTAAAATATACATAAAAAAATCGATATCGCCCAAAAGATCAAAATCAAAATTCGATCAGTTTCAAATTTCTGAAATAGTTTAATAAAATTGTGATAAAAACATTATTGAAAAACTATCTATGAGGTTATTAGGCATTGCTAGACTTATAAAAAATTTAAACATCCACCCGATAATGTAAAAGAACTAGATATTATACCGATAAACACTAAAAATTTCTGCGCTTTTTCCATAGAAATCCCTGATCAACGCCGTCTGCAGGAGGGTACGAGCTCCTGTAAAGTATATGTTCGTAAATAGATGCCTAACGCAAGCGTTAAAAGACCTTTTTCTAAGGTACTGCTTTCACTGAGCTGCACTCCTTTCCTGGCCGACGTTTGCCTGTAAAAAAATATGTTGCTCAAATTTGTGGCTTTCCGAAGTGCCCTAGAAAATTAATTCTCCTTTGAAAAACGTATTTATCCGCCAAAACAACTGGAATGAACAAAAACGAAATCATTTTGAAATGACACACAGCTTGGATACGATTGGAGGAATCACAGCGAAAAATTGGATGGCAAAAAGGGGAAGCTGATTTCATAAATATTCGGTTTACGAGAATACGGATAAATTCTTCAAAGTCAGCATCAAAATGTATAGACATTTGGAAGGAATATAATTTAATCCATCTAAAAAAGTAGAAGTAGATTAAGCGGGTGTAATCAAGCCCTTCTCGACGAGATCCGGAATCTCAACAGATAGCCACGGGCCGAGACCAAGCGCGAAAGCCTGGGCGATGCCGAATTTCGGGACGTTCCGCGCCCACAACGGCTTGAAATGCTCGGAGAGGCAGATCTTGCCGCCTCGGTACATTTTTGCCGTCTTCCCGTCGAGTTCGGGGAGTGAGATTTCGGGCGCGGTCGTCGGGTAGGTGATCGGGATGTCGAACTCGACGGCAAACTCGTATTTCACGTTGTTGTAGAACGTCCAGCACTTGCCGTACCTGAAAAAGAGGGTCATGATGGGCGCAGAAATGTCTAGCAATTTAATAGAAAGTGTTTAGTAGTGTTTTTAGTCAAAATAACTATGTTTAAACTAGAAAAACTTTTTCAAAACTTTAAAAAAGCCCCACTTTCGGTAAAAAATCGGCCATGGTGGGGCGGAAGATCGATATTCCGGACTAAATTTTGCAAAGTTTCCACGTTTCGGAATCGTAAAAACCATTTATAAACACTTCCATTATTAACGGTTCAAAATCAGATCCTAAGAAAAAAAGTTGACCCCGGATAATGCTAAAGAACCCGAAAAACACAGATAAACGTACCAACGGTCCCCGCGATCGCTGCACTCAATGTGGAACCAATCCTTGTCGTTTTCCTTGTTCATCGTCACGAACGCGATCAGCGCCTCGAGCTCTTCCTGAAAACAAAGGTTATTTACTATCATATTTAAACTAACTAACATTATTATCTATTTCAAAGCGCTAAATATATCTAAAAATGCAACAACCTGCAATCGCTTTGGCCACAGCGCCTCATCACGGGGTCCGGCCTTTGTTTTGAGGAGTGGGATGCTTTTCAGCTGGCTTTTCGCGCTATCATCCATAGCCGCCTGGAAAAGGGACTACAGTGCTTTTAGACTACCTCGCAAAAAGATTATTATAGGAAGAACACATTGAAAGAAAAGTGAAAAAAAAACTAAATTTCCACATTACACTTCCTCCCGGACGTTTCGGGCCAAAAATCCGAAACGATGCTCCGCGCTGTACAATGTACGGACAATCGTCGATAGGTGTTGAACGTACACAAAATAATCAAAAATTAAAAACTACAAAACATCTATTATTTTAATTGATCGCTTATATTTTAAATGATTTATTTTTGTCCGATGCCGTAAAATTCTAAGTTTCAACGAAAAAGAGCTATCGTCGACGACTATCCGGAGTAATATCGAGCAGGCTTCTTCTGTGCTTGTCTTTTTGTTTCTTTCATGAAAAACGTTTTTCAACAATAAAATTGCAATTTATGAAGCGAGCCACTTTTTGGGGAAAATGGTTGCGTGTCCGTTTTGGGGTCTAGTGCTAAAGCGTGCCCCCGGACGGGCTGCGCGGTTCGATGGTTCTATGGCGTTATCCGCCCCGGGGTCACCACTGGCCTTCAAATCTTTGCAAAGACATCATAGACCTGTTCTTTTATATTGGCTTTTATTAAGATAGATCAATTTTTATAACGTGCGTCTCAATTATAGATATAGAACTATTTCAGTCAGCCTTGAAATTAGGGAAAAATTAAGGTGTTTCGAGGATTGTGTTGATTTCCTATCGGCACTCTGACTAATTTCCTTTCTTTTTGTGTCGAATCTTTGCCCTTGCCTTCTATAAATATATTAATTCCTATTTTAGTATTTCCAGCCGGAAAAGTGTATTTATTGCGCATCTTGTTTTAGACGGCTCTCCTTTTCTTCGAAAATACTATTAGTTCTTTATAATTCTCAACTTTAACTTTGCCTGAAAACTATCTTTTTCAGGTAAAAATGTCGACCTATGGGCCCCGGCCATCCTCTTTCGAGCTCGAGGAAGGGGGAGAGCGGTGAGTTGTTTAATTCAGAAAATATTATGGCTTTATCAGACTTCTTAAAATCCTGTTTACAGGTATTACATCGGCTCCGAGGTGGGCAACTACCTCAAGTACCACCGCGGCACCCTCTACAAGAAATATTCGCTGATGTGGAAACGCGTGGCGACGATGGACGAAAAGGAGAAAATCCGCGCCATCAATGCCTCGCCCGCCTTCTTGAATACGAATATTATGTGAGGATTTAAGAGTAGAAAATTGACTGTTTTTTTTCAGGCTCGTTCGCCAGAGCGAAGTTGATGATATTCTGGCCGGAAATGACGAGAAATACAAGGTGAGGTTGTTTGCTTTTAATAATGTCTCTTTTTAGGTGGCCGGAAACGCGGCGCCTCGGCCCGAGGGCAGCTTCACGCCAATGAAGCCGAACCCGGCGAAGCAGGGCTCCAACCAGGGATGGGGCGGCCAGCAGGTGTGTGATTATAAATAACGAAATTAGATTTTTCACACGCAAAAACAGACTTTAATCGTTGTTTTCAACCAGCTGATGTGTTTTGGATTTGTAAGCCCACTCCTAATAGTAAAACATGTTTTTGCGAGATTCTTTCTCCTTTTGGGCTTGACGAATTCCTAATGAAAGTGCTATTTTCAAGCCCTAATTTTCTCAGATTGAAAACGAGCGTCAGAAATTCGTTCGAATAGTTAGGTCTAGAGATAAATATTTGGTTGCATTATCGGGGGATCAACTTTTTCCTAGAAGTCCAAGGAGTCGCTTATAACGTCATACCGAGTGTTTTACTAGTATTTTAACAAGATTTAACTATATTTTTTGCTTTTTAAAAATTTTAGGTGAGATTTTGGTCGAAAACTCAATATTTTGTCATTTTATCAAAAATTTGTAAAGTTTGTGTTTAGGGCTATTAAAAAAAGTCCAGAATGATTTATATATCTCATCCTCCTATTTATATTAGAAAACTGGGATCGTTAGAAAAGAAACCAAAAGAAGAGAAAACAGTGGTTTGAAGATTAAAAACACGTATTTAGGTCCAAAGCGGCTCCCATCACGTCGAAGCCGTCCCCGCTTCCCACCCGATCGCACACGGGCGCGGCAAGTTCAAGCTGCGCGAAACCATCTACTCCACCGAGGACTTTGAACAAGTATTTATCTTTTTTGCTTTGTTTTATTTTATTTCCAGGCAAAACGCATCCGGCTGAACGCGGACATCCCCGAGGAGCTGGTGCCGATCCGGCTGGACATGGAGATTGATCAGATCAAGCTGCGCGACACGTTCTGCTTCAACCGCCGCGAGACGATCATCACGCCCGATGTGGTTGGTAGTTTATCGAGAAAATTGGCCGGTTTGAGTTTTTCTCTCCAGTTTAGTTGCTTTTGCGAGCAAAAATGTGTTTCTTTATTTTATGACACAAACTCCTACATGAACGACGCAATAAACATCCGCCGCATTTTTTCAATAATACCATTTTGCCAAGGCAGGAAACGGGTTTTACCTGAGTTTTTAAAATAAATTTATTAAAATATCCGCTTACGACTAGCGAAAATCTTCTAGTGTCGATAGTTGGGCTTAGAAGGCGGTGGGATTATATTTTTTTATGGGAATTGGGTTCCTTAATTGATAGCCAAAAAAATACGAGGCGACCTGAAGTAGAGAAGATATTTTTCCAAAAAAGAATCCGTTTCAGTAGTTTATTGCCAAAATTGTCAGCAGAGTCGTCTAATAGGCAGTTTGAACATGCGTCGTGATATTAATCCTCAACGATTCGTCTATGGTTTTTCGAAAATGAATATAAGAAAGTTTTGATTGAAACACTAGGATGTGCGAATTATCTATTCAACGAAGTAATTTATTTGTCCAACTTTACCGAGAAATTGCTTTAAAATCGGCTTTAAGCTATATCTTTCAGTTATTTTTCATAGTTGATTTCTCGTTATGAAAAAAGGTGTTTCAAAATTTTCTGGCATAAATCACTGGTATATTCGTTGAATAGATAATCCGCACATCCTAGGGTTTCAATAGGATGGCAAAAATTGTAGGAATACCAGCGCTGACGGACATTAGAAATTTATATATGGTAGATTTTTGCAATTAACACTTGTCGCATCTCTTTCATAACTCTCAAATTCTTTTCCAGATTGCCGAGCAAATCTGCGACGATCTCGACCTGCCCGCCGGCAACTTCCAGTCAGCCATCACGTCGGCCATCTACCAACAGCTCGAAGCCGCTGAGGTATATTTTCGATTTTCATCCAGATTTTGGACAATCTTAGTTCTAAAAATTCCGAATTCGAAAATATAAGAATAAACTTTCGATAAATCAGGAATTGCAAAAAATCGGCGTCTAGGTACCAATCGAAAAGGTGATGCGCGGAGTACGGAATTTTTCGTATTTCGATTTTTTCGAAATTCGCGTTTACGTTTACTATAACGACAGTACGAAAAGGTGATTTTCGCAAACCAATTCGTTAAAATGCCGTAATTTTCCTCTAAAATCAAGAATTTCCAGTGCATCCCCCTGGACACGGCAGCCAGCGACCAGCGCGTCCTCATCAAGCTCAACATCAACGTCGGCAACCAGAATTTGGTCGACCAATTCGAGTGGGTGTTTTTGGCTTCAGGGAGTTTTGTTCATTTTTCTTTCTTTTAATTTGAGTACTTTAGTAGTTTCCGTTAAATTTCTAAGATAGCCATAAATTTATAAGCCTCGATATCTTGTATCGGTTCTAAAAATCGAATTCATCCATTATCCATTTTTTTCCAGGTGGGACATGAGCGATCCGCTGAACAACCCGGAGGAATTTGCGAAGAGCCTCTGCTCCGATCTCGGGTTGGGCGGCGAGTTTCCGTCGGCCATTGCCTATTCGATTAGGTATGTAAGAGTAATCGTGCGTAATTACTATAATTACTTAAAATTACAAACTAGATTACAAAGTTTAATTACACTTTTTATTAAGCAAAAATAAGGATTTACATTGAAAGCCAAAATTGCACTAGTTTTTCTGATTTCGAGCAGTTGACCATTGTCCAAACTGACCTGCCGGAAACCCTAAAAAATTTTGAAACTTCTTTTTCAGAAAACGGCTCAAATTTTTCGTAAAAAATAGTTATCTTTATTAATTAAAATAATTCTAGAGGTCAACTCAGCTGGAACCAAAAGTCGTACGCTTTCTCCGAGTCGCCGCTGCCCGTCATCGACTGCCCGTACAGGTGATTTTCGCGAAATTTTTCCCGAATTTTGGTGATTTATCAAGTTTGTTAATTTTCTTTTTGCCGATATTTTGTACGATTAGTCTTGGAATTCTGGTAGTACAGTGTTATTAAGATTTTTATTTTTAGACGCTATTGCAAGGCCCGATTTCAAAATATTTATTCGGCAAATTTTCAGACTTCTAGAATGTTTCACGTTTCTTGGGATCCATGGCTGTTGAATTCGTTAAAATGCATAGCTTAAACGCTAAAATAATCGGAGATTGGCGCTTATTCCATGAAATTAGAACTTTTTGATTTTTGATTGATTGGGTGATTTTTACTAAGGTTTTCGCGGTTTTTTGTAATTGTTTAATAAAAATGTGTAACGTTTTACGTTTAGGAATAGTTTAGAAAAAGTTTCGAAAATTACCGCTTTTTATATTACAAAAATTAGATGCCTAGAAAAAAGCCCGCCCCCCCCGGTATTGGAAAAGCTTTTGCAATAAATTATACCGTTTCCAGAAACCCGACGGACACGGAACAGTGGTGCCCCTTCCTGGAGACGCTCACCGACGCGGAGATCGAGAAGAAGATGCGCGACCAGGACCGCAACACGCGACGCATGCGCCGTCTCGTCACCGGCTACATTTGAATATTCATTGTTTTTCGTGATTTCCCATACCAATTTGCGATTCTTTTTCTATTTTTTTGTGATTTTACTTTCTTCAATTTTCCTATTCATTTAATTTATGTGTTTCTACGGATCTCACCCTCCTTTCATCGCTAAAGTTGTCAATAAAAGATCCTGATTGATCTGGAAACGGCTTCGATTTTCCCGTTTTTATGTGATTACGCGCGTGTGTCAATTCGACGTTAATAAACCGTAAAAATACCGAAGTTGACTTTGCCTTTCTACGCTTTATTAGTCGATATTTAATTTACAAAATCTTCTGACTGAGTGTGGAGCCACAAAAATGGATGTTTCACTTAAATTCTATTACATAAGGGCGTTTTTTCTGGGAATGGGGAGACAACAGAGCCTGCAATTCATGGTTTTGTCAAAAAAAGCTTAACTTTATTCTTGTTCTATAGGGGTTTTTTTAGTTAGCGAGTTTTTAATTAATTTGCCACCTCAAATTTAGATGTTGGGAATATACATTCAATACCGGCGCTTGTTCTGGTAGTTCTCGTAGCTATCGAGTTGGCCGTTGTTTTGACGAGATCAGGTCGAGGCGAGATTTTGTCATCGATTCTATCGCGATAAGAATTTATTGAAATAAAATATGTTCTTTTCCGCATTCGGTAGATTTTGAATCCATTTTCTTGAAACAAAATTTATCCCAATCAGTCAGTTTTTAATCTTAAAAATGGTATTTTTTTGCTGATAGTGGATCAAAGTAACGGTGATTTGAAAAGACTAGTTTTTCCAGAACAACGGGGTCTTAGGGAAAAAGATGTTTCATTGAAATATACGTCAATCGGTAGTATTTTTCTTAGTAATTTGTGGACTCGCAGGCCTAGCTAATAAGATTGGGCGTTTCGCAAAATTGCATTGAATATTAGCGCGTTTTTGGGGCGGTATCTCTGTATTATACGGTCAATTCGTGACGTAGTTTAAATCCTTAAAAAAATATTTTGAGGAGGAATCGATATTTTTAGAAAAAGGTGTTTGATCGAAATTAGGAAAATGAAGAGTGCTTTTGATTCGTAATTTTGGAAGTCAACTTTGGGTTTTCAATGGTTGAAAACAATTTAAATAATGGTAGCTTAATAAAAAAATCTGCATCTTAAAATTGATACGAAATGCTTAAAGTTTTATTTATCAAAAAAACCCAAAATTGGACGTCCAGAAAAAAGTGTTTCATGATGTCTCTGTGTGAAAATCGGGGTGCCGTAGAGAATTGAGATGTCATCCACGCAAAAATATCTTCTTCCAAAACATTTGTTTGTTTAAATTAATAGTAATAAATTCGTTGCAAAAATTTATACAGGGTGTCCCAAAAAAAACGACCCATCTGGCATTTCGCCGGGTTACATCCAATTGGTCATTTTGACCAGAGGTGTATCAGACCCTAAATAACAACAATCCTGACTTTTAGCCCTGTAGCTATAGTAGTTTTCGAGTTATAACGAAAATACTGCTTTTCCCTGAATTCTGAACAGTTTTATCGGCTATCTTTTTGGACTTTGCATCGATTTGCATCGACTTCCGGCTGTCAATCCCTAATTTCGCTTAAGAACTGGGGTAGTTTCGTGTTGTAAAAATCGCTTAAATCGAAGCTTATTTAATTAATTTTACTCTGGAAAAAATTTCTTACGGTAAAGAAGGCCTACTGGATCATTTTCACTTAATGTTTAGGGGGTCTAATTCCACGAAACCCTATGAAAAATGGAAAATAAAGTTTGTTTTTGTTATAACTTTAAAACTACTTTAGCTATGGGGCTGTAAGTCAGGATAGTTGTTATTTAGGGTCTGATACACCTCTGGTCCAAATTTGGGGCCGATTGGATGTAACACGGCGAAATGCCAGATGGGTCGTTTTTTTGGGACACCCTGTATGTTTGAAAAAGACAGGACCAATTATAGGGGGTGCATAAACTATTTTTTAGATGAAAAATTTATGTACAGCACGCAGAAATCAAATCAAATAAAAATCATAAATAGAATCGTGGTGAGCATTCAAACAGGGGGTTGTCGGGGTGTATCACAAAATACTGGTATAAATGGGGGCTATATGCAAATCTCAATACGTTACCCAGGGCAAATTTTTTCAAAAATTAGCATTAAAGGGACGGGTAAGGCAAGGATATGGATTTTTAGCTGTGGATTAAGATAGCATTTCCATGGATTAGGATCCTTCAGAACGAACGCGCCGCGTGCGCGTCGCGTGTCGCGGAAACACGGAAAAAATTTCGAAAATCCATAGCTAAAAGTCCACACTCGCGCCTTGTCCTTCCCTTTAAACGGCACTTTCGGATATGGTAGTACTATTATCGTGCAAAAATAAATTATAGGTGGTTTTTATCGAGTTAAGCATTGAAATAAGATTAAAAAATGGTGAGATCAAATACGGTACTAAAACCCGAATATAGACAAAAACATGGTATTCGATTACGCTATGAAATTATGGTTCTGGGACTATAAACTAGAAAAAAACGATAAACTGGCAATAAGGCTATACTTAAAAAGGATATGTTTCAAAAAAGGGCTAGTTGACCCGTCAGCGTATGTAAACTAATCGATTTCCTTTTAGCATCATTTTTAAAGGACCGTTGATGGCAGGGAATTTTAATATTTAATAAAAAATAATTTGTTTTAATCTTGTATAAAAATTAAATTTTTGTATTATTGAAACAATCATTAAATTTAGGATTTTTCGCGATTTAAACTATCTTAAAGCGGACTTTATGTTTCGGGCAAAATTAAAAATTGAATGTTTCTTCAAAAATTGACCAGAATCTAGATTTTATTTCACAATTGTATTCTTTATGCTGTTCTGGCTCTTTTTCAACGCTTTTTTTTTGAAGCTTTTAGATTGAAACTTTTAAAATATATAGAAAAACAACTAGAATATAGATAAAGAGTTATCTACGCTAATTTTAGAGCGTATTAAAAGCTAATAATTATTTGTATTTATATATTATTTATTATATATATTATATTAATTTATTTTTACAATTTCCGATTACTATTTTTATTTAGATTTTCAGGGCCGTTATCGATTTTGCCTTCAGCGGTCCTTTAAAATACAATTTCCGCTAATTTTTTTCTAGTTTGCATCATTGCAATTCCTCGCCAAAAGCCTGCGATAAAATGCCCATTGGCCCGACGCGCGAGGCGGATATCTTCTGCTCGTCCTCCTCCTTGTCCCGCGCGTTTTTCAGGGCACTCTGAAAAGATGAGCGGGTTGATTTAATTTTCGTTATTTTATTTAATTGTTTTGCGTTTATTTTACTCTATTTAAATTTATTTAGTTTGAGAATAATAACGCAATTAAATTTTGGCAAAACACTAGTTTGATGAAACATTTAAATTTATTAGCACATTGGTTTTATTGATTTCGTTTTGAATGAAGAAATTATAAGCTTATCATATGCCCATTTAAATAGCAATTCTAACTTTTTAAAACTTTCGAAACATTTGATTTTAAAATATGGCAAAAAATTTGAATAGTTTTTAATAAACTGAATAAATTTTGAAACTAAATTTGTTAATGCTTTATATTTCGCGTGTCATGCCGAGCCTTTGTGGTCGCAATAAAGTTAATTGAAAGCGCAGGCTTTTCTGTTTTTCTGAAACATTTAATTTCTAAATTTTCTTGAATTGATTTTTTGCTAGATTAGATTTTGCTTGCGTAATTGTCGAAATTGTTAATTCGTTCTTATATTGATGTTTTTACCTTTATTAAGTGTTTTTGGAGCATGACGACGGAAGAGTGGTTGTTCATCAGGAATTCCTTGAGACTTAGCAGGCCGCCATCGGCTTGTAGGTCGATCGACGAGCGCTCGGAGCACATTTCCCAGCCTGGAAACGGTACAAATACTATACAAAATTATAAAGATTTTTTACGCCTCAGATTATAAAATTAATTAAAATTTTTACGCGAGCTGAATTTTACGCGAAGACGACAGGGTGATTATTGGCGAAAACCTGCCGCCCAGGTCTTGGAACTTTGTTGAAACAATGTTTTGCTCGACGCTTATAAAAGTTTTCCGCGTAGTTTGAATTCAAGATTTTTTATTATTCCTAAGGATCAAGAACGGATTATTGATATAAATTTTCCACAATGCTCTACGAAATTTTTTTAAGCGTATTTGATTTATCTATGGAAATCACGAAACGTCTACAAGTAATCTTTCTTATCTAAAAACCTTTTTTTCTGATTCCTAGAGTTAAATAATTACCAGCCATTATCGAAATCCTGCCAGCCTGTTACTGAAACTTTGTTGAAACCATTTTTTTTCGCCACCAACTATGAAAAGCATAAACTAGTTTCATTTACCGATAATGTTCATTTTTGATTCCGAGCTACAACCACAGTCCATTGGGAAAATTTAACCGTACGGCTCTGGGCAATCTGTTGAAACTAGCTTTTTTTGTGCGAGCTTTTCGGGTTCCTTTAGGTTTTTTAGTGTCCTAGCAATGTCATTTTAGAGCCTGCGAATTTGCAGTTAAATTTTCCTACCCACGTTTACGACTGACTGCAATAAAAAGAGATAAAATCTATCTAAAATTTTTAGGTTTCACAATTTTTTATGGTCATCAAATGGCTCGAATCTGCAATTCTCCGCAACTTGACGCTAATTTGAAGAACACTTCATTTTAACGGCTCATTTGAATGTCTGGAATTTGGCAGACGGCATTTCTGCGTTGTCCCCGGCAATACCTTTCGGCGGCCTCAGCCCGAGTCCCATATATCGTTTCGGCTTCTTGAAGCACAGGAAATCGTCATCGATTTTGATGTCCATTTTCTGGAAAAGGATGTTTCGGATTCTGGAGGGAGCCAGGGAAAATTTGTTTCTTGATACGTCATGAACCGGTTGTCAAGCGGGTAATTTAGAACAAAGAGTGAACTGATCGCAATGCAAAAGTATGTATCGTATCTCGTGCTAATTCAAAGAAATGTCGCTCCTAAATCAACACCGATTTGATGCCTATTAGCTGCAACATACCTTTATCATCCAATTCAATAGCTGTCGAACGACAATCGAGCTGACGTTGAAAAGACAGTAGAAACAACAGGCTCCTGAAAATCAAGGTTAGGGGCAGACCAGCAGAGATTGTTGAGGAAGAGGAGAGGGCAGGCTAGCAGAGATTGTTGAGGAAGAGGAGAGGGCAGGCTAGCAGAGATTGTTGAGGAAGAGGTGAGGGCAGGCTAGCAGAGATTGTTGAGGAAGAGGAGAGGGCAGGCTAGCAAAGATTGTTGAGGAAGAAGAGAGGGCAGGCTAGCAGCGATTGTTCAGGAATTCTCGTCTTACCTAATGTTAACAACAAAAAGTTGAGAAATCGATACACGTCCTTGTTGAGTGACACGTCTTTTTGATTCGACACGTAGTCCCCGAACCCGATCGTCGCAAAACTGGAAGAAACTCGTCGTATCTTTCTCTCTCTCTCTCTCTCTCTCTCTCTCTCTCTCTCTCGTCTCTCCCTCACCTAATAAAGCAAAAATACAAGGCATCAATATACGGCCAGTCCTCGACGCACGAATACACGAGGGCTGCCGTCGAGATGAGCAGCGCTAAAAGGTCGTTTTGTTAGAGTTTGGTAAATTCCTAAACCTGTTTTTTATTCGCTATTTATATTCCTATTTTACTAATTTTTCTTATCAGTAAAAATAAAAAATAAATAAGTTTCCAAATTTTAGAAAGGATTTACAAAAATTATGTTTCATTCTATTGTGAGCATAAAATCCACCGAAATTCCGGTAGCTTCAAAAAATTTTCAGAAAAAAATGTTTCATCAAGAACTGCAAAGAGAACGTTCTAAATTTTGACAATAAGAGTTGACATGAGGTCGTTTCAAATGTAATTTTTAATTTCAGGTAACCTTTGGAAAGAAGCTATTTTTAATTGATTTGATTATTTTAACGTTTGTCGGTCGTCCTGAATTTTAGCGCGTAACTTAATCCCGAAACCTACCGGAAAGCGTCAATAAACAGAAGAACACTTTGTACACAGACGGTCGCCAGTTGTCCACGGCCTCGCAAGAACTGAAAAGATTTTCATAAAAATTGAATGTTTCGAAAAAAATGCGTTATCCCAAATTTTTATGCACAGGTAATTCAATCACGATCTTTTCAACCCATCCATGCCTATTTTTCCTGAAGAAGCTGATATTAAGCATTCCAAATAAATTTAAACTGGCGTTTTTATTTTGTTTTATGGTTTAAGATTATTTTTAGATTCTGTAAAAATTGCGTTTTTAGAAACTTTTTGCCAGAACCATGTTCCAGCTTTCTTGATATAAAAACCCGTTAGGCTGCCCGCAATAATCCGTTGACCCGCCCTTTGATTAAAAGCTTTTCTGAGTATTCTAATAAACATACGTTAAGAGCAATTAAAATTCTTGTTTTTATTATCCTATTGAAGCAACAACGTTTCAAATTTACCTCGCCGACTCGGCATAGTCCTCATTGTTGACGAGCAGCGTGATCGGCTTGTTATTGCTGGCCAGCATCAATCGCCGGCGCACCTTTTTCTCGTGGAAATATCTGAAAAAAAGTTTGAATGATTTAATGCACTGATTACGGCAGCCCTTCATTTTTAAATTTTGGGCAATTTTCACAATTATAAAGGTCAAAACATAGAAATTCGAAATCGTAAGAAAATCTATGTTTCTACAGAAAATTGTTTTGAGGAAGAAAAATAGATATTTAATTGTCACTCGTGTGTACGTATTTTGATTGATTGATCAACAGTTTTCAGTGGTTCTTAATTCTTTAGCGATTCACAACCCTCCCCTTCCTCAACAATGTCTGCTAGCCTGCCCTCTCCTCTTCCTCAACAATCTCTGCTAGTCTGCCCTCTTCTCTTCCTCAACAATCTCTGCTAGCCTGCCCTCTCCTCTTCCTCAACAATCTCTGCTAGCCTGCCCTCTCCTCTTCCTCAACAATCTCTGCTAGTCTGCCCTCTCCTCTTCCTCAACAATCTCTGCGAGCCTGCCCTCTCCTCTTCCTCAACAATCTCTGCTCGTGCTCATCACAAACCTGAGCAAATAGCTGAAGGCGGTGATGAGACGTTCGAGGAATAAATTGAAGAACAATACACAACATGTACATCCCACGACTCCGTATCCGATCGTAGCCGCTCTCCCCAAAATGGTTCGAGGGGTGGCCGTGCCGAAGCCTAGAAAAAGTATCACTAGTGCTTCTTATAACCTCTTTAAATCCCCCTTTAAAGGCCTTGGCCAAGAATTGCGCGTTTCGATCTGACTATCATTTAGCGCGCCAATAATTCTTGCATTTGCACGAATTTTATAAAGCTTTTTATTACTGTCAAGTTTCCGTATGCTGCGTAAATTTTTTATTTTTTACGAAACCACGTACCAATGGTCGAGATAACGGTGCCGGAGAAGAAAAATGATCCGGCCAGATCGAAGCGGTCCCGATCCGAGCCCACACCGCTTACCGTACCCTGGGCGTGGAGGGCTGAAAAATGTATGTAGCAAAAAAATTGTAGGTCTCTGAGATTTGAAACTCCTTAATTTAAACATGACCAATGTCACGTGAAAATTTTCCGACAAAATTGCGAATTTATATTCGAGCGAGTTACGTTGAAATTCGGGGCAGAATCCCGACAGTCAAAATACAGACAGACAAAACATCGACACGCCAAAATACCGACAGATTCTTAACGCTAGTTGTAATGCCGCTTCTTTTTAAACAGCCATTTTCAAGAGAATCCATTAAAAATAATAAGTTAGAATCTTCCAAACCGTGAAACGTCTTAGATACATAAATAAATAATAAATCAACAAATAATTAAGTTTACTTTCATAAAACGTTGTAGCAATTTTTACAATCTCAAGATTTGCTTCTTTACATAGAATTAATTAGAGGAATGATCATTTCAATAATTTTTCATCGAAGTTTTGTTTTTATGCATGTTTCAAAAAATTTCTAAACCGTTGGCTTCGGTTTCGGGTTATTCATTGGAACGAATTTATACGATAATTAGAAAAAATTCTAGCTTCAATTTGATACGATAATTTAGAAAAAGATTTTTCAAAAAAGGTGTAAAACCCACCTAGTAATTCTTCGAGGCGTTCCAGACAGCTGGTGCTCCGATTGCAGACGAGTATCCGCAGCCGCTCCGAGTCGTCTTTGAACTGGAATGTATATCCTGAATTTCCGCGACATCGTGCTAAATTTAGAATTTTACGTTTTTTTAAATTTTGCTAAAACACATTTCTTTAAACTGCAAATTTCATTGCTGGTCGTACTTTATTTTTTCTGGATCTCCGTGTGATTTTTTAACCTGAATATATATTTTTATCCGAATTACAGGATAAATTACGCGCACGCTGTACTAAAACTCAATTTTCACATTTTTTTTAACATTGTAATAAAGCGGTTTTTTTCAGGTTCGAAATTGTGGTAGATAATATATTCATGAACTAACACTTCATTAATACCGTTAATTAGCACACAGTATGCTAATGGAATTATTGGCTTTAAGCCAGCTTTTTTACGCATTTACGCAAAACACATTTTTTTCTAGCTGTTGAAACTTGTTGGGCGTCTTTTTATGCATTCGTAAATTTAGGACACAATTAAATCTATTAATTACGCCCTAACAGTAATTATTACAAAAATACAATCCATTACGCAGTAAAGAAAGTAGGCAATTACTTCGACCTTCAACCGCCTTCGACATACTAGGCAATTTTCCATTTTTTTGGTTTTATATTTTTCTGAAACATATTTTTTCACTTTTGGCCCGAATGCATTTTTTACTTTCTACATAGCATGTTTCTTGATTTTTATGCTACAAAATCGGGCGAATAAAAATTTCATAGCGTCACCAAAATGTGCGTCGGATCAGGTGTCTCGGCGGCTACGCGCGAATGCATAATGACGGTGTCTGCTGGCATTCCTTTGCCCGTTCTTTGGAAATATTGTAGTTTATATTCAGTTTGTTCGCAGTTATTTCAAGATAAAGTTAAGACATTTTAAAAGAACTAAAAAAAGCGAAGGTAACAATTTTTTGAGGAAAAAAGTTTCACAAGTATCTCAGGATTGGCGAAACTTTGCGGGAGGAAAATCTTCCGTTGCTTGATAAAGAACGACTGGTGCGCACCAATAGTAAATAAAATTAATGCACGCTTTCGAAGTATCTTTGTCGTAAAAATGACGCATTATTTTAAGCACAACGTATTATGGCGTAATAACAAAAAAAAGAAAAAAGTCAGTGCTAGGAGTTTCGTCGAATGTTTCAAAGTCATTCTGTTTTAAAAGTGAGTCAATTATCTTAATAAAACCCGATCCTATCGTTGAAAAGCAACATTCTGATAATGCTAATTCAACGTTACAGCTTGTATTTTAAAATATAAATTTAATTTTGCTAAGTTTTTGAATTTTTACGTTTTTTTTCGCTTACGCCACTTGATTTTATACATTACGCTTACGATAATTACGCCGCCCAAGAGGAAAAGTTTTTAGAATCACTACAGTACGCCGGTTACCGTACCTGGCGTCGTTCTTTGATTTCCGCGTCCCTTTCGAGGATGTGAAAGATGAATGCACCTAGGCAGAGATAGAGAAGTAACAGCACGGAGATGAGCACGAAACGGGCGTTCTCCTCGTAGATGTGCAGCCGGGCGAAGCAGCCCAACTGAAAAAAATTGGAGTTCTTTGCTGGCACCATCCCTTTAGCTCCCGCTTTCTTTCTCTGCCGCTCTCTCTTGCTCTCTCTCTCTCTCTCACTCGCTCTGGCCGTGCTTTTCTTTGGCTCTCTCTCTCTCTGTGGCTCTCCCGTTTTCCGTTTCTCTCTCCCCTCGCTCTCTCTCTCTCTCTCTCTCTCTCTCTCTCTCTCATCCTCTCTCTCTCTCTCGCTCACTCGCCAACCTTGATCTAAGATGTTTTACGCGTTTTAGGGGTTCCAAAAAAGATTCCTAGCTAATTGCTGATGGTTTTGGATCGTTCTATGGTAATTTAATTGTTCTCATCAATGGTATATGAAAGATCACCAATTCCCAGACAAAAACAAAGGCCATAAAAATGCCACTTTTTTATTGTACTGCGCGAATTGCGCCTCGTGGGGATTAGTAGATTATTTCCGCGTCTTTCCAATGCACGTCAACCACCCACGGGGAAATGCCATTATCAAGATAAAACAAAGTTAAAATCCGATCCTATTTTCGATTAAAAAAAGTTTCGCATGAAAGTGATCCTAACAACGTGAAACATACTCTAAACGTTATTGGTCTGTTAGCGGGGGGCGGGTTTTAAATTCTTCCCTGGTAATGCCGTTTTAATAACGGTTTTGTTAAGCTTCAGTATATTTTAAGTGGATAACGATCAAAAAACTGGTTTCGCCGAAATTTTGAAACTAGATTCAATATTTAATTATATTCCATGTTTAATAAAAATTTGCAAGATTTTTAAGTTAAATTGGTTGTCCCCCCAGGTAACCCGCCCCCCGATAATGACAAAGAACCCGAAGACGGATCAGTAATTTTTAAAATTTCGTGTAAAACGTAGCTTTTTTTAAAGCGAAATGTTTCATCGAGTTTCATTCCCCCGATTGGCGAATTTTCCAGAATCCTCCTTCTTTGTTTGCAGACGCATTTTAACCCTTCCTCAGCACAAAAAAAAACTATTTTCCACCCCGATTCCTGTAAATTTTTGACAAGGCAATTCGGCCGGGCTACGGTAGCATTGAGTTATTGCCCTAATTGCGCAAATTGGGCGCAGGTGTCCCGCGGAATTGGATTCCCCCTTAAAAAGAGAACAATCATCAAGCGGCGCGAATTTTATTGGGGGCGAAAATCGTGGGGCTATCGATCGGAAAAAGTTGAGTATGAGCGCAGTTGTTATTCAAATGTTCAGCAAAATTAAAGGCAAAATTAAAACATAAATTTTTAATTCTCAAGATTTCCGAAGTTAGAAAGGAAAAAGGAATGTTTCGTATAATGAAGTACCTCTTGAATTTCTCGATACTACAATGGTATTACCAGCACAATTCGAAATTTCGCGAAAAAATCGCATGCTAGCAGAGATCGTTGAGGAAGAAGTGAGGGCAGGCCAGCAGAGATTGTTGAGGAAGAGGAGAGGGCAGGCTAGCAGAGATTGTTGAGGAAGAGGAGAGGGCAGGCTAGCAGAGATTGTTGAGGAAGAGGAGAGGGCAGGCTAGCAGAGATTGTTGAGGAAGAGGAGAGGGCAGGCTAGCAGAGATTGTTGAGGAAGAGGAGAGGGCAGGCTAGCAGAGATTGTTGAGGAAGAGGAGAGGGCAGGCTAGCCGAGATTGTTGAGGAAGAGGAGAGGGCAGGCTAGCAGAGATTGTTGAGGAAGAGGAGAGGGCAGGCTAGCAGATATTTTTGCGGAAGTACCCACCCGTGCTCTTGTGATTGACGGTAGCGTATTGGCGCGTAGTAGATCGCGTTGGCCGATGCCGCGCGCGAATTGCAGCTTATGCATCACGGATCGGCCGCCGCCGAGCACCACGCCGCTAGCGCCGCTGCCTGAAAAGAATTATTTTGTCAGAGAGAGAGAAAGATAGAGAGAGAGAGAGAGAGAGAGAGAGAGAGAGAGAGAGAGAGAGAGAGATAAATGTGTGAACAGTCTTTTTCGAGTAAATATCGGAAAAATAAACGGTGTTTGCACATTCATCCCAAATAATGCCCGCTAGCCTGCCCACTCCCCGAAACACATTAAAACTATTAAAAAGACTGTGCGTAGTGAGGAGTGGGGCGGCGTTTCGAGCAGAGAATAGGGAGAGGGAGGGGATAAATATTTCCGAGTATAGATCGACGGGGGAAAGGTGGCAAAACATTGCGGGGGAAGGATGAACCGAAGGGAAGGGGGATAATCTCTCCTCGAATGCTTTGTTTCGCTCTCTCACTCTCCCTCTCTCCCTCTCTCTCTCTCTCTCTCTCTCTCGCCCTCAGGGGCCAAAATGGCTTATTGAAGCGGCGGAGACAGAGAGCAGAGCACAAGAGTGTCATTTAGAATGGGGAACCCCCACGGTGGCCCAATTGGCCCTCGAAATGCTTGAATATAGGCTTAAGCATGTTTTAAAGGGATCGTGACACCTCAGAAACACGATTGTTCATCTACGCATTAATGGCGAATGCCCTCAATTCAACAAAAAAATTGTTAGGTTCTTTCGCATTATCGGGGGGGGGGGGGGGGGCATCCGGGATGAACCAATCTTTTTAGACTAATTTTTCTAATTAAAATATAGGCAGTGCTTTTAAGAAATTTCTTACGATTCTCAAGCATATAAACGTCCCAATTACAAATTTGTTTGCAAAAAATTTTGTTTGTACATTTCTAAGAAAAACAACTTACAAATTATACGTTCTCAATATTACGATTCCTATAGTTTTTTGAAACAGTGAAAATTCAGCCAAGCGGTCCAAACGGAAATGGCGAATTAATGAACTGAAGATATTTTGCTATTCTTGTGGACTGAAAAGCGTTTTTGAAAGATCTAAATAGCATTTTTGTCGCAAGACTGGAAATCTGGCCGCAACAAAAACTTCACTACGACCTTCCCAAAAACCGGGGTTTTATTTTATCTTGAAACTTTCGAATTTCCAGCGGCGTTCGAAGCAAAATTTGCGCGGAAACGCCGCCGAAACGAATTTAACAATTGTTAATCAGCTGCATAACTTCTGCATAATATAATGGATTTTTTAAAGCCGTCACGACCCTTAGAAAATGTTTGGTCATGATCTAATTGTAAGCATTAATGTCTCAATCTGGGGAACCATGGCTACGATTGTCATAAAGTCCGGGTATCGATCTCTTTTATGAAACCTTTAAGCTTTCCGTCTGAACATCGACGTATCTCCGAGCTAATAGGCTCTGATTTTTTAAAGGAAGACTGTTAGATCAAAAATTTTTGCTATTTAGTTATCCCAGGGACACCAAACTACGCTCACCACGAATTCATGGGTTTATCGTCAAGTGACATCCATCCTACTAATACGACCGAGTCAAAATCTGGGGTTCCAATTTTTCTTGAAACTTCAAAGTTTCCGCACCGTAGCTTTACAGCCGGCTGATGAAAGGCGTCAATTTTCACGAATAGGCGGTACGGCATTCGTTAGGAAATAATGATGGCTGGTGGGTATCGAGTGTACATCGGCATTAATAAAAACGCGTCTTGAAAAATTGCATAACCATTAAAATTTCTAACTAAATTTCAAGCAGGATTACGAGTTTAATGGAAAAACAATATCGAAAATTCGGCCAATTTTAAAAGGGAGATTTACAGCTGCCTTCCGTCGATTTTGGCCAATTAATTTCGGTAAGCTGGTGGTTTCATTATTGCGACGAAAAAATAGCGACTCCATTTTTTCTCTGAAACTTAAATTTTCGAAATTTTGAACGGCTTTAATCGTCGATATTTTAAGGCCTGTTGGGGAAATTCAGTCAATATTAATAATCGGAAGGTATTAGAGAGCAGGAGAGAGAGGGAGAGAGGGAGAGAGAGAGAGAGAGAGAGAGAGAGAGAGAGAGAGAGAGAGAGAGAGGGAGAAGCACGAGTAATTTAATAGGTGGCCGGAAAGTGGTATGGGGCTGCCCATGGAGGCCAATGCTGTGCCCAGGATATAACGAACCGTATGGCTGTCCCCATTCGTCGGGTGGGCGTGGCCGGCGGGCGCCCGGTGACGAAGCGCACGAGTCGAAGCCGCCCCGCACCTGCAAACATGCATAAGCGATAGAATTTCAGGTCGTTTCCGCAAAGCGTCTCTGCTAGATTGCCGTAATCAGAAAAAAATTCTTTTCCTGAATAAAAATCAATGTTTCAAAAAATTTTCAAAAACATGTACAACAATCTAGAGCAACTCCATCCGCTGGACTTCTCGGAATTACCTACATTTTACAATATCACCCATTTTCTCACTTCCGCAAAACATCTCTGCTAGCATACCCACTAATAGAAACCTCAGAATCGCAGCCGTTTTCTCAAAAACGGAATGTTTCCAGAATTCTTATCTATTCTCAGAAAAGTACAGATCTAGGTTGCATTATTTCCGTTCCTCAAAATCTCCTCGCTAGCTGGTCCTGAACCCGCAAAAATCGAGAAACACGAGAATTCTAGATTCTAAATTTTAAAAAACAAAAATAAATTTAATAACACAAAGCTGAGAAAATTACCCGTCTCGGCGAATCGCAGGGGGTAGACGCCGCCGAGCCTGGCAGTCGCGGGGTCGCCGAGAAAAACGGTGTTCCAGGGTTTGATATGGAAGGGCCTGAAAAAATTTTCTTGATTTCTGAAAGGCCTATGGTTCTTAAATATGCGATACTAAAGAGATACTTTCGTGATTTTAAGCTATAGATTTCCTGAGTTTACGAAAGTTCCGCAATGTTTTAATGTAGTGAAAATGGCTTTAGAAAAATCATACAAGTCCCGGGCAGGGCAGTAATGTAAAAGTAAGTAGCTTAATAGCACACTAGCCAAATTTAGCTATGTATATTGAAATTTAAAAGGGTATCTGAAAACTTCAAAATCTGCTTAAAATTTAATCTTTGTCTAAATAGTCGAAATACCCATATTTTTGACAAAATTTTGTGAGTTTTTGTTTCGAAAAAGTAAAAATATACCTAAAAAGCGCATTTTCCGTTTTCGAATTTATTTATTTATTTTATTTACTTCACTTCAATTTTTCACTTCCTTTTCTCTAATTAACTTAGTTTAATTGTTCGTTTTTTCATTTTCACCAAGTCAAATTTTTTCGTTTTTATCGAGGTGAATTGTGACATCTAATTTTTTGTTTAAAAGTTCCAGCCTCACAGCGACCAATCTAATCCTAAAATAAAGGAAAATCCCGGCAAATCCGACACCCCCATTGTATGGGTTCTTTTCGGTCGGGCCCGCGCCCAGATTCGTCACAATTCATCTACACCCCCCGGGGGCTATTCACGGATTTTCCGCATCGATTTGTCTGGGATTCCGCCCGCTCAGTTCAGAAGATTAGCTAAAACATATTTATTTTAGGGAAAATTGGGGCCTGGAAATGCTGTAAAACACTGGCTTTCGAGTTTCTAGGTTCCCACAAAAATTATGTTGCACAACATTTTGCAGATGGGTGTGTTGCGAGTTACTTAATAATCTTTTGTTTTGACATGGAAATCCGCGACACAGAACGGAAAGTTTAAATACAAAAATAAGTTATTCTATATACAAAAAAATCATAAATCGCGTATGCAATTAGAAAACTGGATACGGTTTCCCT